TATTCGCCAACCTTGCGAATATTTAGATCATATCTTCGCCAGGTGCTAAAAATATTCGCAATTGGCGAATGGCGACAGCTTATCTAGACCTCTGATTACAGTCTGAACAATTCATGATTGAGTTTTTGAAAAGACCCAATTTGAAGCCAGTCATCTACCTTGATAATGCGCCTGCCAGCAGGTCACCATTAAAGACCATGGAGCTATAGAGCAGCTAGGTCCTGAGTTCTAAAACCATGCACCATACTCTTCTGATCATGCAATATCTAATTTTTACTTACATGGAGAATGGAATGCTGTAACATCTTTAAAGATGAGAATGACCTTCTCCAAGTTGTTCAATCGACCATACGTGACATGTGGGTTCACTCCATGCTCAAATGGGTTCAGTCATGTGTTTGAGTCATGGATGCAGAGTGCTACTCTTCTACTGACCAAAGAGGAGCCTATTTTTCAAAGAACATAGGATACATACTACATAGGAATATCAGATTATGTAAAGCAAATGTAATTCCCACCAGTTGTTGTATTGTAACTTTGATATGGGATGTACAAAATGCTTAATGTCTCTTTCTGTCTTAATGTAACTTTCTGCGTGGAATGTTGCCCGAGTATTGTGATGTCATGTTACCATAGCAACCATAACTCTACCCGAGTTACATATTTTTCGTCCAAACTTTTGCAGTTTTAGTAACGATACATGAAAGTACATTATGTAAAATTTTGAAGACGATTGGTGCATATTTAACAAAATGCCAGCACCAGTCCTGTTACTTTTGGAACACCCTGTTCATGTACATGTATTCTGTATATATGTATCTGATATAAATACCATCTCACTCGACATCTTGATCATAAAAAAATGACTCTTTATTTTTATGTATATCTTAATATATTTATTTCAGACAAACCTAAAGCTAAAAACAAACCAGATATCCGGCCACATGTACCTAGCGCTAATGAAATTAAGAGGAAAGGTGAGAGAAGCTAGGTTTCTGTGGTAGCTGGGGTTTGAGTGGTCAACTTGGTTTGATTGTATAAGATGTAATGTTGGTTTTGCTTTACTATGAAATGTAATCAGGAAAGAGACCCTGAAATCTAGATGCAAACAATAAAATGATAGTCTCTGGTTAGAGCAGATAATTTTACAGTTTAACAATACATGTATGCTAAAGATATGCAATCAAAACATATTTGCAAATTGGCAATCCGGATCAATTTTATTTTCAAGAAACATCTCGATACTTTTTGTCTTGAACTTTCACATGGAAGATACCCTGCACGCAGAGTCTAGTTATAAACTACCCTTATATAGCCTATATTACAGTTTAGCAGCCCTGCCCCGACGCCTGGTGCCTGTGACATCCCGGGTCATAAATCATTTCAAACCTACCACACTGACCTTTTCTCAACCAATCAGCGAACTGGAAGGAACACATGCTAAATGTGAGCTCATCAACTCTAGATGATGTCAGAGAAAATAACCATATATAGAAAGTCATCCTTTTTCGACGACGAACTCTGACTGACTCGGTGAGATCAGAGATTTATTGTAAACTGAAAGAGTGAAGACGAAGCTCTCTTTTAAGAAGTGAAGTCGACCGAATGCAAAGGAAGCATCAGATAAGATGGAATCTGATAAACAAGAATGAACATACCCCATATAAATTGGATATAAAGGAGTTTTCTAGCTGATTGATATATAAGAATATGTATGTTTCACAACAATACACCTTATCGTACCTTTCAAAAGGAATTTGTATTTCATTCAGATTTCAGGTAACTCATCAATTTCAAGATATTAAAGCAACCCCAACATTGATATTTCTCTTAGGCATCTTAACTTGAATAACATGATGACATTGGCCCTTTTACTAAATTAATTGAAGGAGTAGATTTGTGCCACATGCAGTCTCAGTGCCATTACTGAGGTTGTTCACAGTTGCACAAACTCCTTGCTATGCATGGACACTTTGAAACTTGCTGACATTTGTTTTAACCAATTATGAAAAGTGCAATTCATCAAAATAAACACAAGGCTAAAATTATGCTTCGATCTTAATGCTAGCAAAATTCTAATTCTTCAAATTGATTTCTGTTTTTACATATGCATAATGATATAAGGTACAAGGGCAATTGACAAATCTGCCACTAACAATAACTGCTAATTAGTAGTGCAGTTAAACGTCATAGAATCACTTTCTTGATGCCATGAATAATTGTGTTCACTTCATTGCCAATAATTTACAAAAGTTTCTTTTAAGATGCTAAAGAGAACATAATTTCAACTTTTGATAAGAGGAAAATATAAAATATTGTGTCTTACTTAATGAAATGCTGAATATGTGAAAATGGAGTTCTTATTTAAAGGCCCCGTATAACATTTAAATCACTTTGGCTCATATTGTAGTCTTACCCAATATAATCAAAATGTGAAACTTTTCTTTTTAATTTCAATTTTTTTCAGGTTTTTGGAGGTCTTTTTGTTCATTCATGGATTTATTTAAAACTTAATTTTTGTGGTCACATGTATTTATTAATAAGTGATAGTTAATCCCAATGCTCAGCATTCATACTCATGTGTTTTGTCAAAAAATCATGAAAAGTCTGAAATAGATCTTTGAGTTATTTAAAACATTAATAAACTGTTCTAGAAGTGACTGTATGCAATTTTCTTCATTAATTTTTCATAATTGTGGCATCTCAAGTTTCTGCGACTTGCACCACTGCTGCTAATTTGGCAATACTTAGATAACACATAGCTAGCTTTAGATGTTTTATAATTTTCTTTCCTTTTGAATGCTTCACACAAATTTCCACTCAAGTATGTCCAGAATATAGCTTCACAACCCCTCAATTATATATTTTACGTTATTCATGTTTATATACTGGTAGATTTTCTATAAATATGCTTGGTTTCGAGCCTGAAAGTCAAGAGTTGAAAGAAAGAATAGATTAACTTTTAAAGAATTTATAACATTGTGTCAATGAGAATATAGCATATTGTTACTTGATCAATCTTATTATCAGGATCATTCTCATATGGATTCTGGATGGTCAAGGGAAGTGGAAAATTAACAACATTATATCAGTTTAATGCATAAGCCTAGAAAACATGGCCGACTTAGATTTACCTTAAATGTAAATGAATGGAGGATTTGGACAGTTCAAGAGTCTATGCCCTCAACTGATTTAATACTAACTGCACAGTCCATGCTTAGAAAATTAATGCATTCCCACTGCACCATGCTGTCATATAAATCTAATTCACTCAGAATGGTGAGTGCCCACATAGCGACATTGTGTTATCAACTGCTCCCTTCTCTTTCAAAGCTAAGAGTCTGATTGATTAGAATGATTAAGTGATGTCACAATGTGTTCCATAACTTTTCTTTACAATTGTGTTTTAATACCAGTGTGATATCCTTCCAAAATGCATAATGATTGCATAATGCATAATTTTATGGATATCTATGACAGTATTGTTTCACTGTTCTGGAGCTATAAATTTTACTAAGTCGACATGACATTGTACTTAATGCAAAAGTTACCCCCGGAAAGTTACCTAACAAATATTACAAATGATGATTGCAGTAGTAGTAAGCTTTTCTGTTTATCTCTATACATGTACTTGTATATAAAGGCAGATATACATATACGATTTTGAGTGTCTTTGTTCCACTGGTTGCCTTAAAATTTCTTCATGCTCACTTTCATGGCTGATGGCGATGAAATTGGCAAAATGGTTTAAGTTTTTTTACATTCTGAAATAACAGTTTAGACAATCTTAAGATTTACATAATGGCTATTTGTAATATTAATATTTTTTATTTTTTCAGAAAAATGAAAACATCTTTGTTGCATTTTATAGACTCATTTCTGATATCCCTTGGGAATTGTGGGATATATGTTTGGGAATTGCATGCTGGGATACCTGGAATACATGTTGTACTTGAATAATGATGAATTCGTGTTTGTTTGTTTTATTTATACTCAATGACAAATTCATTTTTTTATTCTTATTCTTATTATTTATTATATTTAAACAATGTTTTGAATGTCAGCCACATAGCCAGGGGACAACAAGACTGTCTTCATTCTGCTTATTTGGTGTCTTGGGAATTTAACAGATATAGGTTCCTTCTGCAAAAGTTAAGTCCAGCTTTAGTCTCGGGGATAAATGTTGAGGTTTTCTTGTGTCATATCAACTGATAATCAGGTCTTTTGGGTCTTGATACCTAATGTAATCTAATTGACTTGCAGATCCAAGTTCATGACCAAAATAACAATCATCTCTGGTATTCATATCATTGACAACTCCTATCACCTAAATGCTTGGTTATTACTTTTTAAACATTGGGGCACGTCTTGTGTTTCATTCTAAGCTCTGTATACTGTAGGAAGCAATTTCATAAAGTCTAAAAATTATTGGTTTAGTAAAAACAAGCTATATACACCCTACTTACATTTTCTATTTACAGGCAAATGTTATTTACATGTACAATGTAATTATGTGAATCTAAATGTGAATCTTCAAATAAATAACTCTGTGTGTTGTATTTCGGAAATAGAACTGAACTATTATTCTGTATTAAAAATGATGATATGACAGAGCTCCCCTCCACAAGAGGCATCAAGCCCCTGATTCGTCCCCTTCCCCAATATATATTTCTTCAATTGTGTAAGAGAGAATTGGACAATACAGGGGCTAGATGCAGGACTCATCGCCTGTTCAGTCTCTATGATGGATTTGAATCAATCACTGATCACTTTCCTGAATTCCTGTCAATATACTACAATCCCCTCTTAATATTACAGAGACTTTTACAGTGTTGCTGCATAGACAGGATCTTCACATTCTCAAGTATAGCTTTCATTACCTCTTGTCAGAGTTTCAATATGAAACGTATGCTTGCTATTTATAGGATTGAATCAGAGTCCAATTTCAAGCCTTTGTGCAGTTTGTTATGATATATACATATTAGTATATCTACTTGCAGGTATATTCAAGCCAGCTCCACCCAATCTTCCAGGTGAAATGGGTAAAGCTGTAGTGATTCCTCCAGATTTGCAGGCCAAATCTAAAGAGATGTTCAAAATTAACCAGTTTAATCTCATGGCTAGTGAGATGATCAGACTCAACAGGACGCTGCCTGATGTTAGAATGGAGAGGTATGATGGCTGAGAGCATCCTCTCACTGTATAGACCTTTGTATTCCTTCTGTTATTTCAATATTGCCTATCATGTTTTTTTGTTGATATCATTGTTTTTTTATGTTCCTTTCAAATATGATATCACCACAACTCTAAAACAGACAAAACGCATGGAAGATCATGCACTTTTTACAAATAAATTCAACAAATCTACAAGATTTTTTGATCATTTTACCTGGTGCCAGATGGGCTTATGGTTGGGGGTTGCTTTATTTTGTGTACGTGTTTTCAGGCGAACTTAATGTTAAGGCGGACATTTTGAAGTTTCAATCCTTGTCTGTAAATTAGAGGTGTCAAGTATTAACCGGTTAACCGGTTAACCGCCGATAATGCCTTGACCGGTCTGTGTTTTTATGGGCGGTTAGTTGACCGTGTATAATTCTGTTATTTCCCGCGCTTATTTTGCATGCTAATCAGTTTGGTTTTATGGTGTCAGTTTCACGTAAGCTACTCATACATGTCATAAGTCCCATAACTCCTTACAAACATCCAATCAGCAACTTTAATCCCTGCCACATTGCTTTCCCGCGCTTACTTTGCATTTTAATCCGTTTGTTTTTCAAGCGTCAGTTTCATGTGAGCTACTCATACATGTGATAGGTCCGATAATTCCTTACAAACATCCAATCAGCAACTTTAATCCCTGCCACATTGCTTTCCCGCGCTTACTTACATAGAATAGAGTAAAGCTTGACGAACGTAAAAAATAAACGCCGATATATCATTTTTCCAAATATTTTTCAACTTTCAAGATCGAAGATGAAGATTTCATTTGAAATTATCAGTTCAAATTTCCCGCCGGTTAACCGACTTTAACCGGTAAAAACCCCCGGTTAACCGGTTAATGCTCAAGCGGTTAATTGACACCACTACTGTAAATTCTTGAAGGATTTATTACAAGTTTTCAGGTTTGATTCTTTGTGTGAGAGTTTAGAACTGATATTTTTCTTTATATGAAAGTTGTGAACTAATTTATTTTTAGTCAATCTGGGTAAATGTTAGGCTGACTTTCTGTCTCAAAAATTGTCTATTCAAGGGTGCGATACTGTTCACCATGTGTCTTGTTTGTAATGGTTTGTAACGCATTTAAACAACAGCAAGTACATACATTTTGTGACGGGAGAAGTCACTTATTTAGTCAAGTATCTATTGGAGGTCATGTAGACACCAACTGCTTGATTTATATTGAAAGTTTGATTGGTGGCACACTTGTAGCCATACTAGGTCTAACAAATTTTACCAGACAATGGGCTTATTCATTCAGTGATTTATTGATAACTACAAATTGAAATAAATCTTGCAGAGTTGTTGATTTCTTTTGCAGAAATCATATGTTCCCCACCACACATTTTGTCTGGTTGTCTGATGTGATAACTTTGATTGAATTAATTTCAGTTGTGAAAATATTCACCTAAAATGTAAAAATCTTTTAGCTTTTTAACCTAACTTAACAGTTGCAGAACACAAATCTGCATGACATGTTAAACTCCTAATAATTCTAGAAGATTCTATCCTTATTAAGCAAGTTTTCTTCATAATATATTTTAATACAGTCTTATTTTCATGCATATATTTTTTAAGTGTTGAAACATTTCTTATTTTTGCATTCACGATTTCTATCCTTCATGTTTCTTGGAAATGGCAAGAATAGAAGATTAATATATCTGAATCTTAAGAATAATTTCTCCCTATTCAAATAACCATTGTATCAACCTGTGGCTTACATTATTGATGAGCTTTGATATAAGCCTTCTTTGTAATATCATTTGCTTGAAATAAATTGCTCACTTGTAAATAGTGTGACACTTTCGAAGACAAGATGTACGAGATGAATGCGCTTTACAGAGTTTATAAAAGATGATAAATATGCTTATTGCGACATAATCAATTTATTTTATTAGATGCTGGATGATATCAATGTTGCTTATATTATGTATAAGGTCATTTTCATTTCAATGTTGCTTATATTATGTATAAGGTCATTTTCATATCAATGTTGCTTATGTTATGTATAAGGTCATTTTCATATCAATGTTGCTTATATTATGTATAAGGTCATTTTCATTTCAATGTTGCTTATATTATGTATAAGGTCATTTTCATATCAATGTTGCTTATATTATGTATAAGGTCATTTTCATATCAATGTTGCTTATATTATGTATAAGGTCATTTTCATATCAATGTTGCTTATATTATGTATAAGGTCATTTTCATATCAATGTTGCTTATATTATGTATAGGGTCATTTTCATATCAATGTTGCTTATGTTAAACATAAGGTCATTTTCATATCAATGTTGCTTATATTATGTATAGGGTCATTTTCATATCAATGTTGCTTATGTTATGTATAAGGTCATTTTCATATCAATGTTGCTTATATTATGTATAAGGGCATTTTCATTTCAATGTTGCTTATATTATGTATAAGGTCATTTTCATATCAATGTTGCTTATATTATGTGTAAGGTCATTTTCATATCAATCAATGTTGCTTATATTATGTGTAAGGTCATTTTCATATCAATGTTGCTTATATTATGTATAAGGTCATTTTCATTTCAATGTTGCTTATATTATGTATAAGGTCATTTTCATATCAATGTTGCTTATGTTATGTATAAGGTCATTTTCATTTCAATGTTGCTTATATTATGTATAAGGTCATTTTCATATCAATGTTACTTATATTATGTATAAGGTCATTTTCATATCAATGTTACTTATATTATGTATAAGGTCATTTTCATATCAATGTTACTTATATTATGTATAAGGTCACATTTCTAGATGCAATGATATCACTTTGTCTGCATTTAGTATATTTAATGATGTATTATATCTTGCATGGAACATATTTATTATTATAACCAGAATTATGTTCCCCCAAAACGTAGCTTAAGTCAGACTTTTCTATATTTAACACCTAACATATGTTAATTTCAGTTTACTCACTTCAAATTATTCAAGCATGTTTCAAAATACATGCATGCATTGCAATTTTCAGGTCTGTATTATTAAATGCAGTTGGGTGCTTGCCCAATTTACTTTCATCTCATACACATTTTTTGTCAGTGTTACTGTGAAATAACAGCCAGCTTCATTGATTTGATGGGTTTTATAGATAAAATAAACAAGTCAGATCTCTTCAATTTACCATATAAACGATTGCAATTCCGCTTCTTTTTTGCCTCTTCAGAATAAGGAAATTGCATTCAACAAGATAAGGATTCCCTTTTTAGATTGTTATAAAACATTGAGAAGATTCTGAAATCTCATATTTCTTACTTGAAATAATGGATTCAGGAATATTCAACTCAAAAGATTCTCTTTTTATGAATCAAGATTTGTTGTTTCAGTAATGCTAACTGTGTAATTGTGAGAGGACACTTTCATTAGATCTTTTTAAGCCAGAGTGATTCTATTTGCCTAATCAGGCAGTATTTGATCTGCCATAGACATAGACAGAAGGCTGAGCTGAGTGATGTCCATTCATCATAAAAGCTGATTAAGCTCCAACAAGAATCCTTAATTCTCCATGTCTTCCAATAACATTTTCTATTCCAAGCACTAGCCAGTCACCTTGACCATTTTATGAGAGATAAACACTTCCTAAAAGTGCATCACTTACCAGTCACATTTTCATGAAATCACTGAGAAAGCATGGAATCAGCGAGGATTTAAGTAAGCTGGCATGAAGTCAATACTTCGTATCATTGAGATAAGCACACCATGTCACGACACTCCACTTCAAGTCATTGTGAAAATTAGAGATATTGTTAAGATAGCATGCAGACTTAGAAGGTAATTAAATGAAGGCAAATGCTAATTCAATAGAAATCAATCTTGATTATTAACAGAGATTTCGGCTGTGGTGGGATTTTGATAATCTGATGGAGATAAACAGATGGTGTGAGATGCGAGATAACACTGAAAAAACATTTTAGAAAAACAAACAATATTTTTTGCAAAGTTTGTCTGGGATTAGAGTTAGAGTATGTATTCTGTTTGTCTGTTTTTATGTTCTAAATCAAAAATGCTTCATTAATGTGTTAAAACTTCTTCATAGCCTAAAAGCAACCCCTGAAGTGTGAATTTGAAAAGTATTTTATAAGCCCAGCTTTCAGTCAGTTGAAGATTTGGAAAAACAAGATTTTTCAACTAAAATGAAAATTTTGCTCTCAGCTCAGAAAAAATCTTGTAGAGAAAACTACATTGTACAATGCCATGCCATATCATACAATATTATAGTATACTATACAATACCATACCATACTATATCTTATTAAGGTATACTGTACCATACATGCCTCAAACTTTCTGTTTCAGTTGTAAACATAAAGAGTATGTCGCAACTAATCTGCTTCCTGATACGTCTGTTGTAATCGTGTTCCACAATGAGGCTTGGACCACTCTTCTCCGTACTGTTTGGAGTATCATCCAAAGGTCGCCACATGAACTTATCAAAGAGATTATCCTCGTAGATGATGCATCAGAAAGAGGTCAGTGACTTAAGGATTTAAGTACAATGGTTTATATCAATCAATTTGATGTGTTTGTCCATTAAGGAAGCTATAAGGTAGAGGATCTATTGATTTTGAGTGGAATGAATAGGGTATCTCATGATTTTATTCAATATAAATGAGTATCTATTGCAGAAACTGATATTAATACATAACAGTAAAACCTGTCAGATGCGACACCTCTCTGTAAGGAACACCTATCAATACAAAGACCATTTTTGAAAAGAATTCAGTCCCCCTCTGTAATGACCACTTGTCTGTAAGGAGCAATTTTGGACAATATGAAGTTGTTCAAAATATACAGGTGCAACTGTACTGTCTCATTGGATATCCTATATACAAATATATGTCAAAATTCTCATGAGAGAGATTAGCTAGAGATTTGAATTCTGACAGCATGTTAACCAGAACAAGAATCTGCTCTTACGAGTCAATGTGTTTTTGCTGTTAATAGGCTTTCCTCCTAAAGAAAGTCTATTACAGTGCATTGCATGGTTCGTTGTTATTGTAGCTAAGTTGTTATCTGTGAATTTTGGCAAATATAGAAATACAATGTTCTAAGGAAGTATCAATCCACATCTAAAGACTAGCCTATTATATCATATTTGGTCTTCTACAAAGGATCACAGAATATTGTTCAGATGTTTTTTCTTGCTTTACAATATACAAATATTATCAATGTACAAATATTATATTTTAACATACTATAGTAACACCTCTGGATTTTTAATATTTCAATTCAATTTTTTCATTTCTGCTTTTAGATTTCCTTGGACGGAAGTTAGAAATGTATGTCAAAGAGCTTCCTGTTCCTGTGGTCATCGAGCGAATGGGGGAGAGGAAGGGCTTAATAAGAGCACGATTAAGAGGTATGATATCACATATGAAATCACATATGATATCACATATAGAGAAAATAAATCTCAGTTATACCATGCTTCCATGTAATCAAGTCATCATCATTTGTATTGTAAAAGTACGTTTAATTCCACAAATCCAAATCACAATAGTTATGTTTTATATTTGATCAATAATCATCCTGATGGGATCAATAAAGAGCTTAGTTTATCATTTAAATGAATGGAATCTGATACTCCATTGTCATCTTGATGTCATGTTCACATCAAGTTTTATTTATAACGTCTATTAGCATTGAAATAGACTATTAACTAAAAGGGGTTATAGTAATGGGTTATAACCATTGCAGGTGGAACTGTCATTCACCCTTTTAAGCCAACATGGTGTGGGCTATTGTAATCACCCATTTGTCTGTCTATCTGTCTGTCTGTCCATCAGTCTTTTGTGAACACATTGGTGGCTCATTTGTAATCCTCCACAACTCAAATGATTTCACTTTTAAAATGTGTCTATATAAAATCTCCAATTGTTTCAAAAGTGGCGTCTCAAAAGCTCAGCCTCTTCAAAATTGTGGCCATCTTTATTGCCACAAATATTCCATCAATTTCTTTTAGATTGCATAGGTACCTGCATTTTGTATGCGTACAGGTATTTTGCCTGTACAGCTTTGGGTGTAAGTCAGACTAAATTAATGGCAACTTAAGTTCATTTGTTTATTTTTCAGGAGCCAGTGTTGCTAAGGGGCAAGTTATAACATTCCTAGATGCTCATTGTGAATGCACAGAAGGCTGGTTGGAGCCCTTGCTATATGAAATCTATAAAGATAGGTGAGCAATGAAACTCATAGTCATTTAGTCCATGATTACATGACTGTATGTCTTGTTTAATCAAGTCAGTTTATATACTAAAGTGTACATAGCAGCAACTACACAAAAAAACATAAAAATAAGTAAAGTAAAATCAAATTTTTAGTAAAACTAAACTTTTAGCAAAATATTATGAAATTGTTAACTTAAAAGCAAACCTACATCAAGTTATATGAAATGCTGTTTTTCAGAACAAGTGTTGTGTGTCCAATAATAGATGTCATTAGTGATGAGACATTTGAGTACATCACAGGCTCTGACATGACCTGGGGTGGATTTAACTGGAAGTTGAATTTCCGCTGGTACCCTGTGCCCCAGAGAGAGATGGAGAGGAGGGGAGGAGATAGGAGTCTCCCACTGAGGTGTGTCACAGTAACTTCATATTGTTTGCTGTTACAATAATTGAAATTGTGGAGGAAAAATGTGGATTGTAAAAAATACAAGTACACACTCTTAAAATGTAAAGAATATTAGAAAACCAAGATAGTATTGATTAAATATAAATTCAATTTTTAGAGAGATGGTATGGAATATATAAGTATAGCCAGTAAGTGTTGAATGATTCTTTGAAACATGTTGAAAATAAGTTTTATTTCTATATACCAGGTCTCCAACAATGGCGGGTGGATTGTTATCTATAGAAAGAAATTATTTTTATGAAATTGGCTCCTACGATAGAGGAATGGATATATGGGGTGGAGAAAATTTAGAAATGTCTTTCAGGGTAAGTTGAACAGAATTTGTTTCCAATAGAAACAATGTTTTTCATCAAAAGTAATGAAAGTGTGTTGAGTGCCAGTCAGGGTAATTTTAGGCTTGTTTCAATTTCAAAATTTTGAGTAATCATGATCAATCAATGGGGATGTTGACAGTGCACAATGTTGAAAACATGTATCTAAGAATATTGTAATCATGAGTATTGGATTGCACGATTGCATAAGAAACTTTTCTCCATTGCTGCAATGAATTAGACTTTTGCAATATTTTATTTATGTTATTGAGATTTTTAATGATAAGCCTTAACATAGAAATATGAAATGTTTTAATAATACTTATAAGAATGCATTTCACAAAATTCGGTTATTCAGTTAACAAAAACAGATTCATAATGTGAATTTCAAAGAATAAGCAATTCAAAATTCAACCTTCAATAGTATGAAATACTAATCTTGAATGTATGTTGGTATGTTTTACTTAAACTATAGATTTGGATGTGTGGTGGGACTTTACTGATCGTAACCTGCTCCCATGTCGGCCATGTTTTCCGCAAGGCCACCCCATATACATTTCCTGGAGGAACGGGAAAAATCATCAACCACAATAATGCAAGATTATCAGAAGTTTGGATGGATGATTGGAAAAACTTCTATTACAAAATCAATCCAGGTGGGACTACTATGGATGGATGTTTAAATGTATTGTTGTCAACTGCTTGTTTGTCTCACTTGTTTTCCCTGTAAACATTTTCTTGTAGGCCCTAAAGAGATCAGCATAAACACCTGGAGTGTCTTGGAGATATACATATTGTTTTCACAAGTGTAGAAAAGGATTGTATTTGTATATTTATTAATATTAGATCAATCTGGGACTTTCAGGTTTGGATGTGTGGAGGTCAGGTGTTGATCGCGACATGCTCTCGTGTAGGGCATGTCTTCCGCAAGGTGTCCCCATACAGTTGGCCAGGGGGCGTTGTCAACATCCTCAATCATAATACCATGCGTACAGTAGAAGTCTGGATGGATAACTATAAAGATTTCTATTATAAGATTAACCCAGGTTAGCAGAGGGCATGATGGTTGGAGGGCAGAGGGCATGATGGTTGGAGGGAAGAGGGCATGACAGGATGGTAGTGGGCAGTCTGTAGCATGGGGCACATAATTTATAATATTTCTTTTATGTCTCCTTATCAAATGCAAACTGAATCTTAGTCATTCATGTTTGATACGGTGGCATTCTACTTTACAGTTTAATAACATTTGATTCTTATATGTGTAGCACTGTGTGAAGGAAAGTTGCAATTTGCATTATCTCTGAATAAAAGAAAGTAATCTTGAAAATGTGCTTAGCTTTCATCGCACATACTAAGAACCAAGTATTAACCCTTAAAGGACTGATAGCTGTAATCATCAACCCAATTAACCCCTTAACTGTTTAAATTCATCATGATGTATAACACACACTATCAATAGACTTGGGTTTAAAACTTCTTTTCTCTAATAGTTGATGCTTAAAGGAATATGTTCATGTAAAATTATATTCATTGAATAATTGCTTTTAAAATTCAAGTTGCAATTAGTATTGTAGTGATTACGAGGAAAGGATTTTTCTAAGTTGTGCAATTTTTTAGAAAATAAGGTTTATTTTGAAATCTATTGATAGTGTAAGACAATATGTCATTAAAAATATTTTAAGGTTATTGAGTGTGGGAATTACAGCTACAAATACAATACAAAAGGGACGTGATTTGTTTATGAAAATGTAAAAAACACTAAACATTAGAGATCTGTCTCAGTGAATACTGCTTAAGCAGATTAATGCTCATTTCAAGATGAGATCTGTTCGCCTTCATAGGTTTAACTGTAAATATGTGGCTATGTAGACAGTTCACTTACACAGTGCTATACATAAAGAATGGATTGGTATATATGGTGATGGCTAATATACATGTACCTTGCTTTAACTTCTAGGTGCAGCGTGCATGTAATAACAGAAATAACACATTTGGTTTGTTCAAATGTTAATAGCAGACATGTTTGTGGCAGATGGGTGCATTTAATGTGTCCATTCAGAAATCAATGAAGACATGTCTGTATTAATATCTGAATACATCCCAACATTTAAGTTGATCCCCATCTTTGTAATATCTAATAACTTCTAATCTGTGTTTGCAGTAAAACCTGTCAATATAAACACTTCAAGTCTGTTCAGGAGGTTTAAGGGACATATCAACCGGGAATATATTCCATATCCGGACAAATATTTTTTGTATGTCCCGCTCTAATGAGGAACTGGGACATCATATGTCCCGCATAAGCCATTCTCCGGGACATACGATGGCTATATGTCCCTCCCCGGGAATTCACATCATAACTATTATCGCACTGAACTAAACAAAAGACAAAAATGTTTAACATTTCATTTGTATTTATACCTTTATGTGAGATTTACGCGTCAAATATTTAAAAATGATTACATATTTTGCAAGTTAATACAGCAGAGCATATGGGATACATGCTTATTATTTCAAACCTCATCAGGTTTGGAATACAACAGTTATGCACAGTCAGTTTGGATACATGGAATATCCCTGTATCCAAAACTTCCCAGTGCATAACCCCTATTTACGAAATTCCAGAAATTGTTATCCTTATAAGTAAAACCTCTGTGTAAGTGAATGCTTCTCTCAGACAAACACTTTTGAACTTTCAATTCCAATTTGCTGCCTCATTAAGTTCAGTGCTATTATAACTGCTAAATACGTGAACATTTTTAGTAAGTCCCAGTTACTTTAAACCAGGTTTTACTGTAATGTATGATGTTTGTTCATGTTGTCATAGCGTAGTGTAGCATTGTGTTGTTTTGTTTGTGTTGTGTTATGTTAGTTAAGAAAAATGGGTTCTGATTTTGTGTGTTCTGTCCTACTATTTGAATGATAACATTATATTTTTACCAGAAACACAATATTTTGGGATATATCTAACTCTTGCCCATCCATAAACATTCATTTTGGTCTGCATAGATCATATCTTCACCATCTGTATAACATTAATAACGATGTATCACATCTTTTGTAGATTTACCATTCTCAACACCACTAACTTTTTAACCCTTTGCAGCCTTTTAAGTCCTTGAAATCTTCAATCTAACATTTCAGATCTTATAATAACATAATATTACAATAACAACTCATTCTCCATTGCTATAAAGGTTTTAAGTTAACAAACATTGCTAAAACATTTACACTAAAGATGCAGTCCCACTCTAAAATGTGTCACTCATCAGATTCAATTTTGAAAGTTTGAACAGGTTGGTTCGCAAATCTAGAGCTTTGTGAACTCTCTCTCAGGTACAACTTGATATCTAAATCTACTTTGTGTTTTGCTCCACAACTGTTATTTTTTATTTTGTGTCTTAACACATGAAAATCAGTGGGCCTGCATCTTTAATAACATGAATTGAATACACACTACATGCTGATTTGTATTTAATGGTGATTGGTTGATATGGGAGTTGTATGGATTAAGTTAACTGCTCATTTCTGAGTTGAATTGTCAGTCAGTAAAATAGTGGCAACTTGGAATATTAGTTATCCCATCGAACGAAGTTCGGAGGGATATAGGGAACGCCTCCGTCCGTCCGTACATACGTCCGTCCGTCCGTCCGTCCGTACGTCCGTCTGTCCGGACATACATCCGTCCGTCCGTACGTACGTACGTCCATCCGTCCGTCCGGGCAATAACTCAAATACCGTTGGCCCGATTTTGTTCATATTTTGTACACATATACCCTATGGGGGTAGAAGTTCTGCTCGAAAGCGGATTTTCAAAATGGCCGCTCATTTCAAAATGGCGGCAATTTTAGTGCCGAATTTACAGTTATTTAGGTGCAATATGTAAAACTGTAATAGCAGTATGTTTTAGATTTAAAAAAAATTATATAGGACATTAATAAAGCTGTTCATATTTGGTATGTGAATACTATAAACATTGCACACTGTCTAAAGACACTTTTGGTAGAAGGTGGCCATTTTGAAAAATGGCCGCCATTTTGTACACATAAACCCTATGGGGGTAGAAGTTCTGCTCGAAATGGCGGCCTTTACTCGTTATTTTACGATTTTTGCTGTAACTCGAAAAGTAGTGGAGCGATTTTGTTCATATTTGGTATGTGAATACTATAAGCATGACACACTGTCCAATGACACATTTGGTAGAAGGCGGCCATTTTGAAATTTTTTTTTAGTAATGGCCGCCATTTTAACGTATTTTACTATAACTCGAAAAGTAGTGAAGCGATTTTGTTCATATTTGGTATGTGAATACTATAAGCATGACTCACTGTCTAATGACACTTTTGGTTTTTGTTCATATTTGGTATGTGAATACTATAAGCATGACACACTGTTCTATGACACTTTTGGTAGAAGGTTATTTTGAAAAAAACTTTGAAAAATGGCCGCCATTTTAACGTATTTTACTATAACTCGAAAAGTAGTAAAGCGATTTTGTTCATATTTGGTATGTGAATACTGTAAGCATGGCACACTGTCTAATGACACTTTTGGTAGAAGGCGGACATTTTTCAAAATGGCCGCCATTTTAACGTATTTTACTATAACTCGAAAAGTAGTGGAGCGATTTTGTTTATATTTGGTATGTAATACCATAAGCACGGCACTCTGTCTAATGGCACTTTTGGTAGAAGGTAGCCATTTTGAAAAATGGCCGCCATTTTAACATATTTGACTATAACTTGAAAAGAAGTGGAGCGATTTTGTTCATATTTGGTATGTGAATACTATAAGCATGGCACATGGTCTAATGACACTTTTGGTAGAAGGCGGCCACTTTGAAAAATGGCTGCCATTTTTGCTATATACTTTGTTTGTAAAAATGCCATCCATGGTTGTGCAATGGGATTCGCTACGCTTTGGCGTTGCCGTTGTTCTGGTTAGATATTGATAAGACCAATTATTTAATGAATTATTTTAAATCTCTTTGAAGTCCAAATTCACATGCCTTTTATTATTTTCTCGAAAAAGTATGCGCATGTCTTTTTTATTCAGCTCATTTTGGTAATTTTTGAATTTTTTCTCTCCTTCCTAGGTGTTAAACAAACTGAAGTAGGAGATCTAACTCAAAGGCTAGATTTGAGAAAAAAATTAGAATGTAAAAGTTTCCGTTGGTATTTAGAAAATATTTATCCAGAATCACAGATGCCTTTAGATTACTACTCATTGGGTGAGGTAAGTGCATAGATATTTAGTTTTTTATTCTGTTTGAAGGGGTAGGGCTACAATGGAATAGGGAGATTAGCAAGAGTTCATCCCCATGCATGATGTTGTATGTGAAGATTTGTCAAACATAAAGGGATAAAGCTATTTTTCATAACATTTCCAAGAAACATCACAATTTAAGAAATGGGGTATTTTCATTTTGTTTTTTTAAAGAACACTTGCCACAACTCATATTTAGCAAACTGGAATAAACAAAATAAATAAATAAATATATACAGTAAATATCACTATTTAAAATGATATTATTGATTTATTATATGTTATAAGTAATCTGAATAAATGATTCATAATTGATAAACCTTTCAAAGCTACCAATTGAAAGGTGACAAATTCAAGTTCAGAATTCTGAAAGCAAATTTAGAAATCCATTCTGATTCTGTTCCGTGCCAGCCCTATATTAAACATAATTTCACACAGCTTGGCAAGACGTGTCTGATTCCAACCAATGCGAACACGCTATTTCATATAACTGCATTGCATTATAGAACCAACAATCCACCCAAGGTCATTGTTGAATGGTTTTCAAGGTGACAACTTGACTCTACAGAATACAGATTGCAATACTTTGATGATACTTTGCCAACTTGACCCTCGGAAAAATTTTCATTGAAAAGATGCTCTTTTAGCATTTCTCAATGTATTGTGGCTGATTCATTCCATTCAGGCTTTGTTTCCAGAACTTAACACTTGATTCTGCGAATCTTGTGCAAAGATTGAAACAATACCTTGGATAAATGATAGTCAGTCCACAATGCACTGAGTCCAGGGCTTAAATCCTAAAATAATTCTAAAATGTGTTCAACCATTTTGTATCTTTTAAGGTACGTAATAAGGAGACCAACATGTGCCTTGACAGTATGGGACGAAAGAGTGGGGAGAAAGTAGGCATGGTGCCATGTCATAATATGGGTGGTAACCAGGTGAGTGTTGATCATAAGATACTAGAATTTCAAATTCATAGGCCAATAGGAAATGAGGAATATTACATAGTAGATAATCATTTAAGTGAGGGGAACTTGAATTTAGGGTTTAATACCTCACGTCATAGGAAATAAGAGATAAACTATATTCAAACATATAATTCGCCTCTTATTTACAAACCAGGGGTTTAAGAAACTTCATTACTCACCAGACCCTCCTCCCCTTTATAGGGAAATACATTGATGTTTTAAAGATACATATCGGTAACTTAGTTAATATGCTATTTGTTGTCATACTTCTAATATAATAGATTCAAACATGACTCTTGATTTTCTCTATGGATTTCATTTGAAAACTCAGCCATTTCTAGAAAATGGCCAAGAATTAACATTTTCTTCGGCAACTTCATCTCGTGTCTGTTTTACAAAATGATAATAACTCATTGTAATGTAACTGTTAAGTACACTCTACTTTTCCATAACTTGAACTGATTCTCCTGATATCATAGAGCTTTGTTCCAATGTTTTGACATGTGTTATTAAATGTGACTTGTGTATGTACTGTCCATAGGCATCTGCAAACCAGGTAATAGCAGATTCAGCAATTTTATTATGCATATATTGGCCATTTCTTAAAATCCCCATACACAGATTGGTCTTCAGAATCACCATGCATGGATTAATTATTCTTTAAAATCCCAATGTATAGATTGAGTATTCCTTAGAATCCTCATGCAACTAGATTATTCATTCCTTGGAATCTCAATGCATAGTATGGTCATTCCGTAGAATACTCATGCATAGATTGATTATTCCTTAGAAGTTCATGCATATATCATTCATTCCTTAGAATCCTCATGCAAAGATTGATTATTCCTTCGACTTCCATGCATATATTATTCATTCCTTAGAATCCTCATGCATAGATTGATTATTCCTTAGACTTCCATGCATATATTATTCATTCCTTAGAATCCTCATGCATAGATTGATTATTCCTTCGACTTCCATGCATATATTATTCATTCCTTAGAATCCTCATGCATAGATTGATTATTCCTTCGACTTCCATGCATATATTATTCATTCCTTAGAATCCTCATGCATAGATTGATTATTCCTTAGACTTCCATGCATATATTATTCATTCCTTAGAATCCTCATGCATAGATTGATTATTCCTTCGACTTCCATGCATATATTATTCATTCCTTAGAATCCTCATGCATAGATTGATTATTCCTTAGACTTCCATGCATATATTATTCATTCCTTAGAATCCTCATGCATAGATTGATTATTCCTTAGACTTCCATGCATATATTATTCATTCCTTAGAACCCTCATGCATAGATTGATTATTCCGTCGACTTCCATGCATATATTATTCATTCCTTAGAATCCTCATGCATAGATTGATTATTCCTTAGACTTCCATGCATATATTATTCATTCCTTAGAATCCTCATGCATAGATTGATTATTCCTTAGACTTCCATGCATATATTATTCATTCCTTAGAACCCTCATGCATAGATTGATTATTCCTTAGACTTCCATGCATATATTATTCATTCCTTAGAATCCTCATGCATAGATTGATTATTCCTTAGACTTCCATGCATATATTATTCATTCCTTAGAATCCTCATGCATAGATTGATTATTCCTTAGACTTCCATGCATATATTATTCATTCCTTAGAATCCTCATGCATAGATTGATTATTCCTTAGACTTCCATGCATATATTATTCATTCCTTAGAATCCTCATGCATAGATTGATTATTCCTTAGAAGTTCATGCATATATTATTCATTCCTTAGAATCCTCATGCATAGATTGATTATTCCTTCGACTTCCATGCATATATTATTCATTCCTTAAAATCCTCATGCATAGATTGATTATTCCTTTGAGTTTTATGCATAAATCATTCATTCCTCTGAATCTCTGCATATATTCTTTTTTTGGATCCCACTGCATAGATTGGTCTTTGGAATCCTCATGTTGAATTACCATGCATTCTAGCCTCTGTCATTCAAATTATCTTTGGTGGTTGTTATTTCAGATGATGTTCAGATTTTTCTCTCTTAGAAATATAAACATGATTTTGACAACTAAAGGATTTTGTTCATGTGGTTTTTGTATTCCTTCATAACATTGTAGTGTCTTTTGTATTAGAACTTCTTGGCAACTTGGTATTCTTTTAATATTAGAACTTCTTTTTTGCATTTTTGCAGTCATCCACACGGGGTGCCATCGAATAATTTTGGCAACGTACCGGAGAACGACATTTTACTAAGAAATGGCAATAATTTAGCACAATATATTTTTAACTAGAGTTCTATTTTGATTTTGACAAAAGTAAGTATTCCATGCAATAACTATTTCATTCATGAGTTTGTAGGAATTCTGTTGGAACCCAGTTCTGATCAAGTACGAAGTTATTGAAATCGGCGCAGACGGACTTTACTCCGAAAGATGGTTTTTCGATTATAACTTTTCACAACATTTAGGTATAGACTCTTGAAAAAAGTACAGAATAGTCCTTATACTTTTGAATAATTCTGTTATTTCTGATTCACACGACTCTGATTTGTTTAATTTAAAAAAAAGTTTTAAAAATATTACTTAGGAACGTAACCGGAGCTGGGAACGTAACCGGAGCAGATCAGTTGAATTATTTAATCAAAAAAATTAAAATATATGATTTGTAACATGGTCATTTTCACATTGTTTATATTTCTACTTTTCATATTGACCAATCCCCATCCATGTCATTTTAACAGGTCCCTTCATTACTTTACACCAGTGTTTCAAATATTTAATTCCAATGTTTTCAATTCTTTTGTATACTTTCTACTATATCTTCCTTTATTTGAAGCAATTTTTAGCTTTTCATGGTGTGATTGTTTCGTACTGTTTTTGTATTCCATATAATAGCATTCACTCACATGTAGCTGAGTTTGGGTGTTGTCCCAGCCTAAGTAGTTGCTTAGAGTTAGATGATAATGTAGAGTGTACAGAGAACGTTTGAAGTTTATTTGAAATAGACTATTTTATATATTTTAACATTAGTTATCTGTTACTTTTATTTGCCACCCACGGGCCTTACACTCGCCCCGTTACAGATTTAAAGCACATATACTAATTTAAAAACATACGGGATTGTTCGAATGCGTATTTATTACATTTAATTTAAAGAAAAAAATTTATCCATTTTGAAAAATTAAATTTGGTATTTACCATGCATAAGTGCACTTACCTTAGAAAGGCTATCAGACATAGAACAATCATTGTATGGAGAATGAAGTGATTAAATGTAGTAAGCAAATAATTCCATTTGATTTCACCCATTGTATTTGTTCAGCAAACTATTAGAACCCACTCTGTTATACTAATTTCTAATTAATTTCTAATTTATACTAATTGCCATGCATTGATTTTCCTGTAAGTGAAGGGTAATAAATAATGCTCATTTTAACATTCATATGTGTTTGTAAATAATATATATGCTTTAAATCATATATTGTATTTTTTTAAATTATATAATTCAACTGATCTGCTCCGGTTACGTTCCCAGCTCCGGTTACGTTCCTAAGTAATATTTTTAAAACTTTTTTTTAATTAAACAAATCAGAGTCGTGTGAATCAGAAATAACAGAATTATTCAATAGTATAAGGACTATTCTGTACTTTTTATAAAAGTCTATACTTAAATGTTGTAAAAAGTTATAATCGAAAAACCATCTTTCGGAGTAAAGTCCGACTGCGCCGATTTCAATAACTTCGTACTTGATCAGAACTGGGTTCCAACAGAATTCCTTCAAATTCATGAATGAAATAGCCATTGCATGGAATACTTACTTTTGTCAAAATCAAAGTAGAACTCGAGTTAAAAAATATATTGTGCTTAATTATTGCCATTTCTTAGTAATATGTCGTTCTCCGGTACGTTGCCAAAATTATTCGATGGTACCCCGTGATCCAAGGAAGGGTTTTATAATTCAATAATTATAGTGGTACTTCTCCAAGGTTCCCTTTGTCCTTCAATTCCTTTTCATTTCTGGATCTTATGACTGAATATAGGCATCATCCAAAGGTTAATGTGAGACCCCCACACAAGAAGGGTTGGGATTTGACTGTTGGGCTGTCAAATCTCCTTCCCATGGGAGCAACCTAGTGAGTCGATTTCCCCAACCCTTAAAGCAATTTCATAAAAAAAATTAAAAATCCCTACTCACAGGACAAAGTACTACGTCAGAATCCCACCCCCTGGTGCAATACTACATTTCAAATTCCCGATCCGACCTGCATTGTGGGCCACACGCAAACCTTTAAATGGTGCATTTAAGACATTCTTAAAAAGTAGCTTCACTGGGTATCAAATCTTTTTACTGAGAATTACTTTACTCATCTAGAATTAGTATACTATTATAAAATTTTGAATGTGTATGATGTCACTATGAAGAGTTCCACTGTACCATGGCACACCTCTCTATATGTATTTGGAAGTTTATTCATTTCTGGACATAATGCCAGAACAATAAAAATGGTTATTGGTATTATAAATGTAAATGTAATATATTTCAGTTTATGCCTCAGTTTATATCTGATAGAAATTAAATGATATACACTTCCCATGTCAACATTTCAAAATTCAAGTTATTATGATTTTTAGTTGAAGTAAAATTATTTCCTGAATATTTGAAATATCTTCCATGAAGAGTGGCTGATATTGAACATGCTTAAGATTTTATGTTCTTAATGGAGCTATTACTAAAAGTATACTACATGTATTGCCAATTCTAGATAACAAATCTAACCTTTTCCCTCTGTTTAAGATTATATCATATACCAGAACAAGAGCTTTACAGCTAGATGACCTTTGTCTAGATGTCTCTAGTATGGAGGGACCTGTCACACTATTCCAGTGTCATGGTCTCGCGGGTAACCAAATGTGGGAGTACGATCAGGAGGTATACATGGAGTTAGCAGTTGATGCAGCCAACTTTCATTTATTAGTCGTATTCATGTTTTTATGTACATTGTATTTTGATGAAATGCATTGAATTAAAATCTGTATGGTAGACTGACCTCAGGAGAGCAGGTCAATATTTCATCATTCCAAAGTATCATTAATTTGATAAAGTATGATATAGACTTCCTTCCTCAAAAGTTATTCATTTCAAAAACATCTATGATTAGGCTATATGATTGTATTGAATTTGACCCAAGGAAGTCATTTGAAGTGATTCAGTGCATTTCAGTCTAAATATTATTTTGTAGACAGATGCTCAGCTCATGTGTAATCGTGCATTACATGTCAAAATGTTCCTGCTTGTTTTATATTCCTTAAATAAAGGACCTGTCATTTTTGCATTTCAAGAGAAGTTCATTTTTATCAATGTTTGTCTCTTGTGTTGCTATGGCGCCTGCTGCATAATTGCATGGCATTCATTATATGTTTACTTTTAAAATTACCTATGTTTAGCAGGGACTGATTTCCATGGACTGCTAGATTTTAGAAAAGTGGTGAAATATGTAAGGGATCAGGTCAAATATAAGTGTCATTCTTATGTGAAAGTAATATGGTTGGGTTCAATGGGGAAATGCTTTTGTTGGGCTAAAAGACATTCAAATTTAAATGTGGGATAATGTTACTCCATAGCCTTATGAAAGGAGGTAGGTCAAATCCTTAATTAAATTACTTTCATATAAAACTGACATTTTGAGCTGCCCCCTGAAGCATGACCAGTGTGTGGTTTATCTTATTTGAAATAATGTGTTGAATATTTGTAGCATGGTGCCATCTATCTGCTTTTAGGTGTTCTCATATACAAAGAAGAAGTCACTTATGACAGATGATCTATGTATAGATGTCTCACAAGTCAAGGGACCTGTCAAATTTTTCAAATGCCATGGTTTGGGTGGCAACCAGCTATTTGAGTATGATAAACAGGTATATGTTATTTCGATTGTTACAAAATGATAAGGGATTGCAAATAACAAAGAAAACAATTTTGCACTGTGTGAATTTTGAGGCTTTGCACAGATGTTGTTCATGCGTAGCAAAAGTTGAGCTATATAAGCATGCATTGTTTTTCTTTGTATGTTTGCATGGAATTGCAGTATATATGATTGTGCTGTTTATGTGATTTTATTAAGACATTGGGATACAAAAAGGGTAACTGATTTATATGCTCCTGTCTAAGTCAAAGAATTACAAATTGCTGGAATGTCAAGAGAAAAATCTTTTTCAATCAAAATCACAACTTCACTTTTCTCTTATATTTTATTTTCGGTATTCTGATTATTTGATGGAACCTGAGTTGCCATTTAATTTTAATATTGTAAAACGTGCATATTTAGTACTGTGAGCTTAATACCAAAGATATATTTGAATGAGAATCCCCCATGAACAACATAGATGTATTGTTTCAGACTCTACAATTGAAGCATTCCAACAGTAACCAGTGTTTAGATAAACCCAATCCATCAGAACGTGATACACCATCAGTAGGTAAGTAAACAAGTCATGGCCTGTTTTTCAATGATTGTATGAGATAGTGTACATTTCAATTTTGAATATTTTGAAGCCTTATAAAGCAGGAATTGTAGCACACAAACTTGATACAAGAAAGATAATTTAAATGTTCCATTCTTCATTATTTGCAGGCCCATGTAATAACAAGCCCTCCCAGCAGTGGGTGTTAGGAGATATAGACCTAGCTCGGATGTGATAGCGCCATCTATAGGCTCATCTTCATACTGCTGAATCCTCCTGCACACTCAAGAAATTGAAAAACCATCAAACCATATTCTCAAATACTTGACAGTCGTACTTTTGTTGCAGAAGTTACATGCATAAAAAATAACAATAAAAGAATTGATTTTACAAAATTAAGTCAGATTGTCATGCCGATTACACATAAACAAGAAACACATGAAAACTCCAATACTAGGTGATGAGGAAATATGCTTGCTTTCTAGAGCTCTCTTGAAAGAGCTCGAAGAGTCCATGTTTTGACAATAAAATGTGACTTAGACTGAAATAAATATATAACTTTTTTCATGGAGGAAAATATGTGTAAATGAATCTAATTTCTTATAAAATGTACATTGTCACAATTTCCTGATTGTCAGTATGTTTCCAAGTTTTAACATTGTCACAAGCATAAATCCTCCAACAAGGTAATACATGTACCATGTGACCATTCTAATCTGATATTCTCGAAGCACTCTTTCCATTTTGTAGAAACTACAGATATAAGATAATGTGTACTGTGTACAGAAACAGCTGAAAATCTATGTTTGATTTTGTTCGAATTAATTTGATATAAATGGTCTGATCTGTATATACATGAGAAGCTACGCGGGTTTTAATTCTATAAAAATGTTGAAGAACAAATTGATATTTTTAGAGCTTTCGCAAAACATAAACTGATCATGTATAGTATCTATTATTTGTAATCTGAATGGTTTTCTTAAAGGTGGACTTATATACTAATACATTGTGACACCAAATCTTATTGGATCACACTTGAAAAATATGCCACATATATAAATGTGGAATTCATTCTGATATACCAGTCATGTTACAGATAGCTATAAATGTTCAATTTATGTTTCATTATATGAAGGAAGATTGTATATATTTAGTGTTATAAACATAAAGAATTTTACTTGTAATCTGATTGGATCACGTATGAAAATTTATTTATTATGTTGCTCCTGTCAGATTGCGGATATCTACAAATTTTCAGAGAAATGCCTTGAACATAATGGGTTGGCTTGCCACAATAATTCAGATTAGATCTGCAAATTACTTCCCATGTTAAATCTCAAGATATCTTATCTGTGTATAGAACATCAATTTGTCATGTTTTTTACACATTTCCTCTATAAATATAATTTGGATAGTCCTTTATAATAAAGGGGCCAGTCAAAGATCTTTAACAAATATTTTCAATATCAGAACAAAAATAATCTATGGCTGGATTGTACAGAAAAAAAGTTGTTAAGATCCTTTCATACTTTTCAAAGTTGTTTGCAGAAATATTCTTGTTGATATTGAAAGCAAGTTCTTATATTTGTCTGCCCCTAAGCATGTAGATATTTGAACACTTGTAATTCACCTTCATTCCATTAGAATTCATCCACATTTCACTTTTAATTTGCATGACCACCATCATATTTATTTACTCGCTTCTAGTTAGATAGGGGGCATATATAGTCAGTTATATAATAACTGTTGTTTCATCATTTCACTGGTATCTAGAAAATCCCAAAAATGTGAATGAGAATCATTTGTAAATTGAAGATGTACAAATCAGTAATTTCACTTGTACATTCAATTTATCTAATTATTTGCTCATAATGCTAATTGCATAGGCACATGGGATGATGTAATCATGAAAACAATTACATGTATGTGCTAGCAAATCCCTACAGGGTGATTCCTTGAAAAACATATTTAAACTTATTGTAAATGCAGATGTTTATGCTGCCATTTTGTGTTTAGACATTGACAAGTGTTTGTCTCGGGTGAGATGTATGTCAATATGGGTGATAGGTACATATATAGTAAAAATTGGTAGGAGACTCTTAAGTCAAAATAAGCCAGACAGTTTATTTGTAGCTGGTCTAACATACTCATTTACTACTTGCTGTTTACGCATTCCAGAGAATCCAAACACTGGGTGTGGAGTATGAGGGTGAATGGTGCTCATGTTAAGTCATGAATAACACCCAGTGCATTAACAATGAAAGAATTCAGTTGATTGTGTTCTTTAGTAAATGTTCATTGCAGGAGGTTAAGTATTGACAAGTATTCTAAATCCTGATTCCTGATTTTGAAATACATTTATCTCATAGTAATACATTTATTTCATAGTAATACATTTATCTCATAGTTAGGGTGCTTGCATAGATTATTTAAAAATAACTTGTGGATATGGATATTGATAGATATTGAGATATTGTTGATGTCTACTTGTGGACCAAAATCATATCCCTCAAAGTTCCTCTGATAGTCTATTCTATGTATAAGAACATAAAAAAATCACCAATCATGTTGATTCACAATACTTTTGAGAAAACACCTCTGGGCAATATTTTGGTATTGGCCACTTGGGGCTATGTGTCATAATGTACATTTCATGTTTATTTCTGTATCAAAATTGTTAAAAATATGTTGTTTTGTATTATTTGTAAAACAATTAGATTATAAAGAAGATTAAGCAAGCATAATTTCCGTTGATTTTCAGTAGTTATTAGATGAATTATTTGTATGAATAATCATCTTGAACATTTCTTAAAAATGAACAAAAATTAATACATATTTATGCAGCATAGCTTAATTAGATACTACTTGTATTTTATGACTTCAATTTAGTTGATTGTATTCATGAAACTTTGACATTCCTAGATGAAACGTGAAATGTAGTTGTATATCTTATTACAAACATTGAATGTGAAACATTTATGTGATAAAAAATCGAATATATCTGTTAATCTCAGAAATGTGCAGTAGTGATCTGTATTTTGGTGTAAGGGATAGAGTAGTATAAACTTAACACTTGTCTTGGAGAACTAAGTGTAATTTCTCTCGTAAGATGAGGGTTAAGATACCTTGCAAATCATGTTTGTGGGTCATATATCTTTTTCTGGTTGTTCTCAATTGCAAGCCTTATGGTGAGTTGTCTAATAATCATCACCTGCAGTCATATTACACTATTCATATGTATAAAAACATCAAATTATAAATTATTCATGTGGCCATATATATTGTAAAACTGTTCATGTGTATAAATATTCAAGGAAAGTATAGTCACGATATTATATATTGTATATACAGATGCGATATGCCAGAAAATGAAATAAAATAAATATGTCTAAATATTATAGAATAATTGTTGTATTCAATTTATCTCAGTTAAAAACACACAAACACACATAATTTTACTGGGAAATTTTTTTTGTTGACTTGTTTTGTTTTATTCGAATTATACTAAAAAAAATCAAGGAGTCGAAATTACCCTTCTTTTGGTGAGTGTAGTGACAGATTGGAAATTCTTTCTATGCCATGAAGATTCCTAGATTCTGATTCTAGATTTCCTGCTAAGTCTGATAGGGTAGTACACACCTAAGGTTTTTGGGCTGATGTAAAGATGGCACCACCAGAATCCAATACATCATTATCAGAATTATAAATAATCACAGCAGATCCATTACCTTGCTATCTCTATTTTAAAATTAATTTATACTTCAAAAGCTGCTTTTTTCAATGCAATACCCATCACTTTATATGCTTACTGCAAAGTTCTCGTATAATTAATGATATGCAACTTATAATAAGTAGTTATGAAGGAGTACTGGCCACTGTTCCCCAAAAGTAGCAAATGTTATTTTTACTGTTTCTAACAAACTAGGCTACAAGTAGTACTAAGCGATGCAAAGGTTACTGAACACACCTGTCTAAAGCTAAGTCAGGTGTGTTCGATCTAGTTGAAAGCCCATGGAAGAACGTAAAACAAATGTACTTGTCCGAATTGCAGAAGTTTCAGGGGTTTATCTGTTGACAATCATAGGCCAAGGGAAAATAATAGAAGAGGAATATAAGAAGAGATCTATACAGCTTACTATTACTTTTCCCTTGGCCTATGTTGACAATGTAGTAATTTCAAATAAAATACTAAAGACACTCATGTCCTAATATTCAATCTTCGAATCAACCAATATAAAATAAAAACATGTTCTTCGAAGAAAAGTGAAACTGAATCTGTGTTTACTTTGTTTTGAAAATGAAATAATGATGCTCCCTTAGAATCTCTTATTTTGAAGAGTAAGACGGAAGTAGTGGAAAATTCGAAAGTGTATCACGTCAATAGTGCCGAATAACAAATGACTGCATGCGAATATTAAGGTAAATATGTTCTTGAATAATGATTTTTTATGTATTTATATGTTGAAAGTATTCTCGATGCGTACTTCTTAAGAATAAACTCACAATTTGTTTTCCAAATTTCCCTCCAAAGTTCCATCGTAGAGACAAAAGTTCCCGGATGTTAGGTATTATTTTGCAAATAAATATTGCAGTGTTACATTTTTAACAGATACATAGGTAATCATACGCTGGACATGTAGGGATAGAAACAGAAATAAGTTGCAGGTATGTATTTGACATATTTTCAAGATTCCTCTCCTAACTCAAAAATGTTATTTCTCAGGCTTTGACTTTGAGCAAAGCAAAACTGAAAATGGATCCTTATAAAGATGGCTATGTGCAAATATAGTAAGCCTAGCTATTACATGTAGGCCTCAAAATCTCTCTATATTGGTTATTGTTCATTGTTATTTGAGAGCATTGTTCTACGAAGAATTTTTCTCATCTGATTACTGAGCTACTACCTTTGAAATGAAATGAAATTTTTATGCTGAAATTTACCTATTCAAAGGCTGCACTGGTCTGGTATAACATCCTTTGCCGCAGACAATAGGTCGCTAGATAATCATAATAGCTGGAACTGAAATACTGAATTCTTAGCGTTAATGTCACTATGAAATATGCCTGAGTTCTCCCAATATACTTTGTATCTATGACATCACACATTTTGTCATGGTTATTATCGGGATGAACGGGCAATATGGGTTGATATTGTCAACTTTCCCATTGAGTTCCATACAAATTCTTCGCTACAGCCCATTTCACTGTTTTATTTCGTCATTTTGATTTCTTGGTTCTGAAAATCTCAACTCAGGAATAAAGACAAGCCCTGATCAACACAGAAGCAGTTGATAACCTCTAGACTTTCGTGAACTGAGTATGGGGATGTAGGGAACATTTGAAGGTATGAAGTAAGTAGCTGAATTCAGTATTTCACTTTTCAGTTTCAGCCATTACAATTATCTAGCAGCCTATTGTTTCACTTTTGACATTGCTCAATTCAATTTCGATAAACTTACTATATTCACAAATATTTACCATGTGCAACAATTTTAGAGAACACAGCAGGCCAAATGTGACAATATCTAGTCAAATTATGGTACATATGTATGCCAGGGCAGATACTTTTAGAATTAACCAAAATGAGAATCTCCAATCTCTGTAATTTTGGCTCACACAGTAAGCCTATGGGATTGACCAGGCGTCCGTCCGTCCGTTGGTCCGTCCGTCCGTCCGTTGGTCCGTCCGTTGGTCCGTCCGTCCGTCAACATTGGCCGCACAAATTAAAACTGCTATTCGGATTGAGTCATATCCACAGTCATTTTATGCATATCCATAATGCCTATTTGACCTATCATCGCCATTTCCCAAGTTCGCCC